ATGTTATGTTCTATGTTTTTATGGATTACACTGTACGATTCTCCCATCGTAAATACAACGTAACAACCGTATTTGGTATGGATGTTTTCAATATCTATACCTTTTATTGTAACTATTAGAGCCTTCCCTTATGTTTTGAAGCTATTAATCTTCGTACTAATTACTATGTCCTCTATTAATACCAAAGCAATTTGAATCCAAAACTTTATTATGTACCTCGAGACTTCTATTATTTTTTATCCTCATCCCAACCCAGTACATAAATCTATCATAAAGTTTAGAAGGTCCATCCATTATCTAATAATAATTCAAAATCTTAATAACCAACGTGGGTGTTTGGACTAGCTTGTGTGTACATTGAAACCGGTCTGTCCGTCAGTCACTACACAATATTTGCGTGACGCGAGCAGGTTCGCGCCCTTCCATTCTTATTCATTCATGAATTTGTTCGTTAGTTCTTTACTTTCTCTTTAGAATTTATAAAACTGTTATATTTATAGGTTACTTTTGTTACAGCCTTTACTATCTTTAACGAATATTTATTTAACTGAACATCTAGTCCTTAAAACCAACGATCGGATCAATTTTTTCCACAAGACATAGACCACAATTTGATTTATGTCATGGTCGGTGAATCTACTGCAACATCACACTACAGATGACACATAATTTCGAAATACACTCAACAGTGCAGCACTTAGCATTTCACAAATCTACCAAAGGGGCATTCAGTTAGCAGTCCATGGTATTTCCTATCCTTAACAAGTAAGGTTACTTACAGTCCATAACTATTTATGCACAATTTGTGACAGGCAATAAGCTCACTCTTAACCCCTGTCCCCGTACTTACCTTGTCTCTTTGAGCCGTGCCGACACACGTAATGTTGACATTTTTAATGTTGTCACATGGCATTCTGCTTCACCTGTTAGAAAAAATAGAGGTGATATTATTGACGTGGCTATATTGCGTGGTGAAGTGTATTGTACTGAAGTAATTTGAATAGTTCATGATTGTAGTATTAGATTTCAATGTGATAGAAGCGAAATCAATGTCCGTTTCGTAAAACTTCTTGTACATTGTAGTGTTAATGTGTATTGATATCACAATAGATGTTGATATTATAAATTGGTAAAGTTTTTTTTTTGTTTTGTGTCAATGCTCAAAGCAAGGAAATTATTATTTACCTTTGTGATATATTTTACTTGTCTTCTTGATTCTCTAACACCCTTATTATGACACTCAGGTGCATTATCAAAAAGAAAGTCGTATTCATAAAATAATTTGTTGTATCAATCTTTATGTTCTTTGGGGTTAGACTACGAGGTACTAGGTATAAGAAATTGCAAGGTTCCAACTCGGCAATTTAAACAGTCCTTGTCCTTGGTATAGGTAAACCCTTGAATTTTTTACATAAAACATCCGTTTTTGGCCAACCATTATTGTTGAATAGCGTATAAATCATCGATAAAATTTTAGTAAGGTCAACTTTAATTATATATACGGAAATCGATTCTCATAAATATTGGAATGGATAAAATAGCAAATGAGATTTTTGATTGATCAATTTTCTAAATCAATGTTTCATAACTAGAGTTTTGACGCAACTTTACTTGAAGCAATTAACTGATTTGATACCAAAAAGGGGCATCCACAATGAATACAATATGTCTATTTTTTGATAAGTTTGTTTATCTTTAGCTTAGACAAAAGCGACTAAAATAAAGTCAGCTACTTTAGACAATTCTCTTATTATTTTAGACATAACCAAAATAGAAGTCTTTGGTAGCAGTTCATAATCTCTGTCATTAATCTAGACTACAGCTGCGAAAATAAAATTTGACGGCTCTGTGTCAAACTTAAAATAATTCTCGTTTATAACATTTAGTTATATGAGAATTTGAGAAATAAAAACCGAAGTTTTTGCGTTTCTACGAATTGTATGTGCGAACACAAGAGCAAAGTAAAATGCGTGCACAATCCGTGTAATTGGCAGTGTGGGTCGTTACTCCTTTTTAGAGATCCGCATGTACAATTGTATTACGAACTTACAATGTGCTCCTACTTTGTAAGGGAACGCGTCATTGTGCTCTGCAGCTGGAGGGAACGAAGTGACAGAAGAGAGTTTAAAATTGTTACAAATTTCTTGGAGAACCATGATCCACGCTTGGAGAAAAGTCTATAAATGGAATCCTGTTTTTTCTTTTTATATTTTAATGCAAATTTATTCTTTACAAACAATTTATCAATGTATACCTCGACCAGGACAGACATCGGACAGATTTTTATGATTTTAAAGATATTTAGATAACCATTCAAACGGATTTGATGGAATCGATTTCTATCAATTCGGAATTAAATTTTGAATACAACAATATTTCACTGGCGCGGCCACTCGAAAGCATATATAGAAATGATAATCGCTGCATAAAGATAAAAGATTTCGATTACGATACAGACGCAATTTTATCGATTTATTTAGATACTTATCGATCACCAACCTAATGCTTATGGTAATAATAATAATATATGTTTATTACATTTGCCTACTTGAGTAGGCTAAGCATTACAAATAGCATTAGATGACACTAAAATATTTACGACATCTTTATCTTCACATTTTAATGCAGGAAAATTTGATTACATGAATTGTACTCATTTAGTTCAAACTTACTTCGAAAACCTACAAAAAGCTTGGCTAGCTATGATACTAGTTTATTAATTTTAGTTGTTACTAGTTTACTAATTAAAATCGCAAACGCAAATGCATTTTATTTTTTCAATAATGTTTGCATTATCAAATTCTTTACCATCAACAATTTGGTCACCATTACGGCTTCCAGCAATCACTCATCTATCGTTTTGACATTCTTTCTGAGACTTTCTGTCATCTCTACTTACATTCAACCGGTTATTACCTTATGTAACTACGCATCTTCACAACGCATTCTTTGCATGACAAGCCGAAGAATTTTTGGAGTCATCATCATTAAATGGACCACGCTCGTTCTATTCTTCATTTAGTTTTTTATCAAGTTTCTCATGATTAACTAGGTCTATGGACTCTGTGTCACTATCATTAGCTAGATTGTTTTTTGTAATATCATCGTGGCTAATTCTTTTAAGCGTTTCAGGCTCCATTTTTAAGATTACTATCGAGTCATTGAACTAAGAAATACTTGGAACGAGTATTTGTAAGTGCACTTAAATTAAATTGATGGTACTTCTGGCACTAATATTCAGTTATGAGTAAATACTATAGATATTTTTTATGTACAGTTTGTTGTATAGGTATGCTAGCGTGTGGCGCAGCCGCAGGGCACACCGCCATATTGGATATTATTTCGTTTTGTGTTTAAATTGTAAATGAAGGCTTGTATATTAACAACATAGTCATATAAACAAAAATATTACATCCTGTCATATAGATAACACATTTATGTACTAAAAATGTATTCAATTTTGAAATCAACATTATATACAAAAGTGAAGTAATTTCGCTTCTAATGTTCTTGATTAGTCAAAAAGAAATTGTTAAAATGTATTATTTTACTCAGTACACAAATATTTTCTGTCTATTACCTCCAACTAAACAGTCGTGACTACTTCTGTATTCACAACAATTGACAATCGTCTACACTTTACAAAATCCTTCATTTTGTTCATGCATTTTAGATTTTTTTGTTTTTTATTTAATAACTATTAAAAATGCAAGTTCAAGTTTACCTTACTTTAACGAATCAAGTTTTTGCCATCGTTCCGTTTTAAGAAACATGGCAGAACACAAGCATGTTATTAACATGATTACACGAAGTTCTCAATACTTCCTTTATCAATTCTTATACTGACCTCGGATGGGTGTTTCCTCAAATAAAAAATATCGGCATGCAATTATAAAATGTGATGTAAGAAAAAGCATTTTAGTAAAACGGTAAATTATACAAAAGGGTAACGTAAAACAGCAAGTTATTCGATCATTCTATACCATAAGAACTTATAGTGTGAAATTAGTAACTAATCACAAGAAACAACTGACAATACCTAATGTAATTGCAGGTATATCCAGAAGTTCAAAAGTATTTATTCTGGACCTATTACTTAATAACACTTGGACGTTTTATTTTAACTTAGCGTAGCCAAGTTAGTCTCAATGACGTATCGCAAGCCATTCACAATAAATAACGACAGGTTTTATTAATATACACCTAATAGAAAATGTAATTGAGCTCGGCGGTAAGCCACGTATATAAAACACTGTTTTCACATCGCTCGCCTACCTACAAGCTATAAAGCAGATGGTCACTAGTTATTCAATATCGCCGCTGTTAATAATATTAATCGCAGCGATTGGCCACAAAATGCTTTTAACGTAATTCGATTCGGTTGGACTGGAACTCTTGTGGAACGGAACCAACGAAACTTGGCCTTCCCATTCCCCTCCACGTTTGCGATCCATTAACCAAACGGGGAAGTGAAAAGAATTAGCGGAGGTCTTCAAAAAATGGTGAGGCTGTACGTACTGAGCGCATGCGATGTCGCTGAGCTCGCCTTGAGACTAAAGGCTCATGTTACTCGGATCACGTTCAAGGCGCGTCTGAACACTGAACAGTATAGTGGTTGCCGACATTTAAATTTTACTATTATACTGTATAGAATAGTGTAGAGTACAGTTATTGTATTATCTCAGATGACATCTACTCACTTTAGCAGCGGACAATGAAATACTGCAGACGACATAAGGTCGTTCCTCTCTTAATGAATGAACGCCTCCAAATCCAATCAAAACCCGTTTCGGATACCTACATTGTTATGTACCATAAATAAACCACGTTTCGTATTATCAGCGAAACTTGTGTTCAAATTCACTCCGCCTCTACTCCGACATTTAATTAAACCACGATATTTTATGGTTCGAATCATTAAAACATTCCCAAGGAACATTCTTATCCAGATGCAAAATTAAATATAGCGCAAGCATTTAATTTTACTTTCTTTGTTACAGGTACATTCACTCAAAGGAGAAGCCGTTCAAGTGTACAGAATGCGGGAAAGGATTCTGCCAGTCAAGGACCCTGGCGGTTCACAAAATCCTTCACATGGAAGAATCGCCTCACAAATGTCCAGTTTGCAGTCGGAGTTTCAATCAACGGTCAAACCTCAAGACTCATTTGCTAACTCACACGGATCATAAACCTTACGAGTGCAATTCTTGTGGAAAAGTATTCAGACGGAACTGTGACCTGAGGAGACACGCCCTGACACATGCTGTTGGTGATGTTCCACCAGGTGATGTTTTAGATGTAGGTGAAGAAGATATTGGTAGACCTGGATCTCCAATAGAACCTGGATTTGATGATGAAGATCCTGATTTGTCATCACCAGAGCATTCCCCTGTAAGACGAGCGCGGTCCTCTTCCATCGAAAGTATCGGAAGAGAGCAAAGTGAAGAACGACCTCCACGACGAACGTCACCATCTCCAGTGGAACGGACCCACTGCCACCATAATGAGCAGAGAGATAGAGCAAGCCCTTACACTATGCGGCCTCAACATCAAGAGAAACACATGCGTATGCCTTCCGATTTGTATGAAAAACGGCGGTACACTTCGGATGAGATTATAGAAAAAGAGATGAGATACAATGAGCCTCCTGAACCACAGATCAGACATCCTCAGCTACAAATACGCAGAGACCTTCACCAAGTTGCACCGCCCGATCCCAATAAAATGAGTCAAATGGCCAGTCCTCCTATAGATCCTGGGCCTTCAGGTATGTACCTGAGTCCATTTAGAAAGAGAAGCCATCCGCCTGACATTGGAGACAACGTAAGAACTTGTGCAGCTGTTTATCGAAGCCGATCGCCGGAGCCTACTAACTTAACAATGCCTCGGCAATCGATGGGAAATGGAGAAGTTGTAGTTGGACTTCCACCATCCATGTTGGGAATGCCATCTTATCACAAGTTTGGTTTGCCCATGCCTCCGCCTCACCCTCAAATGGCATACGGTCCAGTTCCTCACCCAATATTAGGACCACAGCAAACGGTGGCACAAGATCTTATAGTTAAACACGCGCCTCCTAAAGACACAACTCCTGGCACTTCCACACATGTCACCAATTGTAAGGATGGTCAGAAAGACCCTGAAGAAGGCAGTTCGAGCTTTATAACAAGTGGAATAAAGAACATTGTTGGGATACAACCACCGGCTAATCCGAAGCCTGGAACGAGCTCGTCGACAGGACCGAAGAAAGGATTCAGTATAGAAGATATCATGAGACGTTGATGAAATGTTGACTAGCGCCACTGTCTGTGAAGTTTTACTGTATGCAAATGAGATTGCTTAGAATTATATTAGGTTAAATGTTAGCCTGTAGAAACGTGTTGCCTTATTTTGTTTAGCTACATAGTAAGAAGAGTATTTTGTGACGAATGTATTCTCTGGACAGTGGTTCTAATAATTGTATAGGTGCATTTTAGAGAGATTTAAGATATTATGAAATTGTTTGTGTACCTAATTTTAGATTAACATTAATGAGAAGTATTATTAGTCCAAGTTTCGATTATACAGATTGTAAAATTTCTAGAGGTATGTTTGTACGTATTCGCAACGTGGATTTGGTTTTCGTAAAGATCTCATAAGGTTTGTTTGTGCAGTGTTTTGTTTACCTCCAAATTTTAAAAAATTAGTTTATTGAAGAAATATTTAGGCAATAATTTTTATTTTCTCGTTTTATTGTTGTATGTCGTCGGCGGACAAAACAAATGTCAGTGTGATTATCTTTTGTTTGAACCCATCAATGCTGATTTGTAATATTTTTAAAATAATTTTATAATAATAAGAGCATAATTTTTAAAATAAATTAAGAATTGACTGGTTCTTATAACAGCTGTTATTTATTATTTAGTTATTTTATAATTTAATTATTGAGAATGTTAGTTTTATATTATTGTCGGGCAGTGAGCAGTTTTATGATAATCGTGATTTTTAATTTAAGATTTCATTTTATAAAACATTGTAAATAGATGATTTCATTGTTAGTTTTAATTTTAAAATAAAAATAGTTGGTTATACAAACAATTATTTGTTGAAATTTGTTCATGATAAATTAAATAAAACTGGACTGTTATAATTAAAATACATGAAAACTGTTATAAAATGTTGCTAAACCTTTAGTTATATAACGCAGACTCTACTACATAGTTTATTACTTCTTGCTCAGATGTAATTAAGTGAAGTACTTTATATGTACATTCGTATTTTTATAATATAATTAATTAATAAATTATGATGACACTTATCTGCATCGTTTTAATAATCTCCAAAAAGCAACCTACTGAAATTATACATATACACCTACGTAGAAGTCACGGAAAAATTCTACATTATGTTGAAGTCCTATGTATTTCTTTTGAACGAATAACTAATTATATCTAAGTATTTGGTATGACAATCAAGGTTAATGCCATGTAAAAGAAAGCTATAAAGTTGACGACGATAACTCAGTCGTTGAAATAAATGCTTAAACTTTTTCAATGGAAATGTGATAAGCCGGTGAACGAGCAGATGGATCACCTGATGGTAAGCAATCGGCATCGCGCATGGACATTTGAAACACCGGAGGCGTTACAAGTACGCTACCGGCCTTTTGGGATTAGGAATTTGAGGACTGTTGGAGATTTAGAGGAATCATTGGGGAAGAGGGTGGGGAAATTGGGCCTCCGGTAACCTCACTCACATGAAGAAACACAACGCAAGCTTTATTTCACTTCAGTATTCTGTGAGGCTGTGAGTGAGGCCGTCTCCGAGCCGGCCCTTCCATGCCGAAGCATGGCTCTCCCACACTTAAAACTGACTGTGAATCGTCACTTTAGCGACCACCAACAAAGCAATTGAGAGCATACCCAATCTTTCTAATATTAATGTAAAATAATAATTAACACTAATAAACATGTCAAGTGTAATTACAAAATGTTCTCTTATAAATTGTGGCAATGTAATTAAGTTGCGAAATCAAAATTTAGCAATAAAAAAGATTGATTCAATTCGTTTCGATACCTACAATGTGTTATTTACGACTTTCGCTATGTTGAAGTCTTTACTATCAAAATCTAAAAGTACCTATTTAGTAGGTACATTTCAAAAGTTTTACAAAACTTGAGTACATTTTTTTATAGCAAAATCTGAAAACAAGCATATGGATCACCTGATGGTAAGCAATCGGTGCCTCCCATGGACACCCGAAACATCAAGGGTTACAAGTGCGTTACCGGCCTTTTGGGAATTGGGAATTTGAGGATTGTGGAGGATTTGTGGATTCAGGAGACTAGGGAGGGGGTAATTGGGCCTCCGGTAACCTCACTCACACGACGAAACACAACGCAAGCGTTGTTTCACGTCGGTTTTCTGTGAGGCCGTGGTATCACTTCGGTCGAGCCGGCCCATTTGTGCCGAAGCATGACTCTCCCACACTAATAAACCCACGAGTAGCTGCTTAGAATTGGGCAGCAGTAACATCTTTTGAACGTAGGTACTGCATTCTCCAAACCACCTATAAATTGAGAATGATGATAATTTGCCTCTTAAAGGCCTTAGTCCAATAGTATAGACCGGCCAATGATGATTAGGGTTAAAGGAATAGAAGTGTCAGTATTCACTAGGCCTACTATTTCACATAACAACTTGATGACATTAAAGTTCAATACAATAAGACACAAAAGTTTAGTGAACTTAGTTAAACTGCGATAATTAAGGGACACGCACGTCTCCTTAGGGAAGTGCTGTGGTGGTGCTGAGGTGCTGAGGGTCACCACTGGGGTGGATTTAGTGAGGTACGAATCCCAAACTCCCTAGTCTTTCTACCCAAAAAGATTGGCGCCTTTTGAAGGTTTCCCTCCGACATCAAAAAAACAAAACATGCTTCTTTAAAACTGTAACATCCAACTTGGTCTTGTACAATTTCATCTTAATCAATTTTCCGATCGAGGAGATAAATATCTCTGTAGATGTCTATTTTCACTCCAAAGTCTCCATTCCGAGACACTTTTGTCCCACGTAGCACGGGTTTTTTTAAGGGGGGGAAATCATCGAATGACTACTCCCGCCTGGGTGAGGCGGGAGGGAGTGTCAGACTCTTACTGACTAAAAACCACCCCGTTCCTTCTCCTGCGCTTTGAGCCGGAGCCCCGGTTACCCGTTAGGTTCTCTGCGACACGTGGAATGTGCCAGTGTGTGAATTTTTAGTTCGTATTTGAAACATATACATTTTTTTACTGATTGAAACAGGATCTTGTCTGACCATTAATGGAACATATTACAAAACGATCTCCAAACACGTTTGGTATTAGAGAATGTCAAATAATTTAATTGAAACAGCAATAAAACAATAGGAGGTCTCATTAATAAAAGCTGTTCGAAACGTTCAACGAACTTAATTTAATTAAAAATAGTTCATTCATTTTTTTTAATTTATTTTTGAAAAAAAAAACTTTTAGAATTGACGTTTAGTTACTGGCTCGATGGTGGGTTAAAATTTGACATTTGAATTTCCTATTCAAGCTCGATTTGTTGATATTGTATTAGTTTTTTTTTCAAGGGGGGAAAATCATCGAATGACTTCTCCCGTCTGGGTGAGGCGGAAGGGAATGTCAGCCTCTTACTGACTAAAAACCACTCCGTTCCTTCGCCTACACGTCGAGCCGGAGCCTCGGTAACCCGTTAGGTTCTCCGCGACAGAAAAAGTCCTTTAGAGTTGATATTTAGTTACTGGCTCGATGGTGGGTAACAATGTGACATCTGAGTTTCCTATTCAAGTTCGATTTGTTGATATTTTATTAGTCATGTTCACAAATTAAGTGAAACTTTACGACGAATGCTAATTGAGAATAACAGTAAATAACAATATTATGTTTAAGTAATTCATCATCATCATCATCATCATCATCATCATCATCATCATCATCATCATCAACAGCCTATAAGTGCCCATTGCTGAGCAAAGCCTCTTCTCACACGGAGAAGGTTTCTCTCTCTTTCTGAATGTCACATTGGTACATCATGTCATTGGAAGGTTACCCGCGCCCTCATGCATGAGAAGCGGGTGTCCTAAAAACCTTCGGGCTACCACGACGACTACCTACTAGTAATTACTAATTAATTATTTTTCCGTAAAATCTTAAACTATTATATGTATAAAGCGGAAGATTTGTTTGAACGCACTAATCTCCGTAACTACAAGTTTGATTTGAATAATTCTTCTTGTGTTGGATAGCGCATTTATCGAGGATGGCTATAGGCTATAAAACATCACGCTACGACCAGTAGGAGCTGAGCAGAGCGTGTGAAACCGCGTGGAAGTAGCTAGTAGATAGATAAAGTCAAAGCAGTTACAGTTACCATTACCAGTCAGATTGCATGAAGAGTCGTCGAGATGAACGGCCAAGTACGCTAAGCTTTTTTTTTTTTTTTTTTTTTTT